TAGTTAATAAGGCTAAGTATTTAGAAGTTTATATTACAACATCTAATGGAAAATTGTATAAGAACAATTATGAGCGCTTATGGGTTAAAGTTCAAAAAGATTTAAATGATTGGCAAAAGCTACAACTATCATTATTGGGGAGAATTTCAGTAGTGAAGATGAATGTTCTACCAAAGTTTCTTTTTTTGTTTCAGATGATACCCATTTTAAAGAAGGATGCTAATTGATGAGTGGCAGAAGGGTATTAATAAATTTATTTGGGGCGGGAAGAAATCAAGGGTAAAGTTTAAGATTTTACAAGATGCTCAAGAAAGAGGTGGACTTAAAGCACCAAATTTGAAATTATATTATGATGCGGCCACTTTAACTTTAGTAAGTGACTGGCTTAATTTAACAAATAGAGATAGTCTTGTTCTTGAAGGGTGGGATTTATTATATGGTTGGCATGCATATTTAATTTTTGATAAGAAAGTAGATTCGGTCTTTAAGTCACATATTTTAAGATATGCTTTACTTCGAGTTTGGAAAAAATATTATTATAAGTTAAATTATAAAAATATCTATTTGGCTTCCGGTGGACCTGCACGCGTGATGGCGGCTACTTTGTAGCTGTCCTCCTGGGAAAGTGTTAGAACCGCTATGAACAGCAGACATCAGCTGTTCTGCGGTTCAAAACCTCCTTCTCGGGCAAAGGGAGGGAGGAGAGTATCATCTGAATAGTGGTAGAGCCTCTGATGCACCCCAAGGTTTTCTTTTGGGGGTGAAAAGAGTGCTCCCACGGAGTTCAGATTGTCTCCGCTTCCCAGCTGTTTTTGTCTCTAGGGACAAACAAGCCGCTGCAACCACCTCCGCGATTAAAGTGATCTGGTGAGTTTTTTTAAAAAGCTGACAGAGCTGAATACAGGATTTTGTTTTTTCTGATCTTATTTGGATTTTAAATTTAAAGATTTACTTTTATTCCCTCTTTTTGTTTTTTTTTCTTTTGTTGAAAGGGAAAGTAAAATGGCGATCGGCAGGTTTTTTGGTGTTTTTTTTTTAAATGACTGGAATGGAATGAAACGGATTTTTTGATGTTGGGTTTGGATTTTAGGAGGATTATTTTCCCTTTCTGTTTAACTTTTTTTTTATTTTTTGAAGGATTTTTTTTGTTTTTTGTACTTTTAAAAAATAACGGAATGGATTTTTTCTATTTAATTATTCTTTTTCTCTTTCCTTTTCTTTCTTTTTCTTAACTTTTTTCTTTTTATTATAACGATCTCCTTTTGAAGGAGTTTTTGATTTTTTGGAGTTAATCTCCCTTTTTTTTGCTTAACTTTTTTTTCCCTCCTTTTTTTGGGTATTTTTTAAGAAGGAGTAAAGATTTTCTAAGATGGCTCCAAAGCATCCAGTAATTCCCACAGCTCCTAAGGTGGTTTCTTCTTCGGTGATATCATCAGTGCAACAATCTAAATCAATAGTTTCACCCTCTCTTTCGGCACAGTTATTAACGGTAAAGGATTTGCAAGACATAATGGGAAATGCTATATCTCAAATCAGGGGAGAAGTGAAAGAGATTTTAGTGGAAAATAATAGGATTCTGAGGCAAGATATAGTTTTGGCTTTAAAAGGATTTGCCTCTGTTCTTGAAAAGTTGAACTTTCGTGTAGAAGAGGTTGAAGACAAAGTGGAGCTGTTGGATGGAAAATTTGAAGGCATGGAAAAAGAGATGGAAAATTCTCAAGATGAGATTCTTATGCTTCAATATAGAGAAATGGAATATGCTTTAAGAATTAGAGGCTTGAGAGAGTCTCTGCAAGGAGATCTGAGAGAGATGGTTGCAAATGACTTTGCTGTGATTCTGGACAGAGAAAAAGAAGAAATATTTAGTGAAATTGAAAAAACATTTAGAGTTAACTCTGTGGTGGCAAAGCAAAGAAATCTGCCAAGAGATGTGGTAATTTACTTTGGGAAAAGATCCCTGCGCAATGAAATTATACAAGCTTTTTACAATAAGAGGTTTCAGATTGCTTCACAAGACGTTATAATTTTAAAGGAGATGCCATCTAAAATTTTAAGAAGAAGAAAGGAGTTTGCTTTTTTAGCAGATGAACTTAAAAAGAGGGAATGTTGTTCAGATGGGATGTCCTGACTGGAATGGTGGTGAATTATCTGGGGACACGTTATAGACTTAATACTGTTTTCAAAGCAAAAGAGTTTTACACTTCGGTCTTGGGGGTATGTTCATCGCCACCTATCATGTCTAAAGTTTTGGAAGAGAAGAAGGCAGAATTGCAGTCTGAAGGGCCTATATTGATGAAAATTGGGAAATTTCAGACTGAGGGGCCTCAACAAGGTGAGATGAAGGAGCAGAGGATAACTCGTGTAACACATAAACGCAAAGAAAAGGAGCAACAGAAGAAGGAGGTTAAGGAAGCCTCACAAGTATTTGTTGTCTGCGGGAGAAGCAAGATCTATAAACTTTTTGGAGCAACCTTTAAGGGCAGATTTCCAAGCACTTCTCTCGAGATTTTTGGATAAGAGAGATTGATAAAGAATGTATAGATTGTTTTCAGGTTATTGATAGATTACAGTTCACTGTGGATGGAATTGGTTATTGGTAAAGAGGAGAGAAGATTATGGAGATTGAATGAAAATTCTAGATAAGAAGTTTAAGTTTAGTAATTTAAGGAGTATTCAAAAGAGTAAGGAATTGTCCAGGCTGTCTCTGCCCTGCTGAGCCCGCCAAAAGTCCCATTCTGCAAACAGTGCTGCACCAGTTGAGTAGTCCTCGACTTACGACCGGTTAAGTAGTCCTCAACTTATGACCGGTTGGGGGTCGCGGCATTAAAAAGGTTGAGAATCACTGTGTTAAGGCAAGAAAACATTTTACAATCGTGGTTTCAATATTTGCAAATTGTGCAGAGGTGGACTTTGGATAAGAAAGTGGGAATTACTTTAGTAGATGAAAATTTGGTAATTCAGATCAAGGATCAGAAATGTGCCCATATTAAAAGAATTTATAATGAGTTAATAAAATTGGATTCAGAAACAGAGTTAGTTAAAGATTGTATGATTAAATGGGCCCAGAGTATTCAAGAACCGATCTCATTGGACTTATGGGAGGTAATTTTCACTAGAAATGTTACATTTATGCAGGCCCAGAATTTGAGGGAAAATTTTTACAAAATGTTTTATAGATGGCATCTGGATTCTAAAAAGCTGTCCTGTATGTACCCGAACCTGCAACCTAACTGTTGGAGATGTGGTTGCTTGGATGCAACCTATTTTCATGTTTGGTGGACTTGTAAAGTTATTAAAGCCTTCTGGATTATGATTTGGTGGAACATTCAAAAGGTTTTTAAAAGGAAGATTAAGTTTACTCCCCAACTGTTTCCTTTGGGAATTTTCGTGGACTTTAATGTTAAAGAAACTATTTTAATGTTGAATTTAATAACAGCAGCAAGATCACTGGTGGGTCAATATTGGAAAAAGGATACTCTGCCTTCTTTAGAAGAATGGGTATTTAAGGTTTCTAATTTAGCAGAAATGGCTAAAATTTCTGCTTATTTAAAGGACCATTCACAAGAGAGATATTTTAACGTATGGAGAAGACGGACAGAATATGTTCAGAAGAAATATGGAACTACAAAGTTTCACTTATTCTATGAGTAATGATTTTTTTATAAACTTATGAGGTTAAAGTTTGAAGAGAGTTAAGGTTTTTTATGATTTTGTTCATTGTATAATTAGTAAACTTAAATAGATTATGTTTAATATGTTTGCATAATCCTGTATTTTGCTCTGGGAAGTCGGGGGGAGGGGGGTGGGGGGAGGGGGTGGGGGTGGATGGGTTGAAGTTTAAGTAGTTCAGATAAAGTAGAAATAGTCTTATTGTATATAATATTAATGTTTTAATTTTGAGAGAGGAACTGCTCGGGCATTTCCCCTGGACTGCATCAAGAGGGAGAAGAAGAAGGTGAGAAGTACAAAAAAAAAAAAAAAGAATCCAATTATATTTCATTTCTAGCTACCTACTCTGAAAAAAACTCATTTCTTACTCTCTCTGGATTCTGTCATACTACGAAAGGGGAGGAGGATAAGCAAGGGGGTTTTATGACTCTCACTTCCTTCATTAAACTACAAAGTGACTGGATGTTAATTATCATTAAGAGGACTGACCATAACAATATGGCCATCACCTTTCATCTACTCTCTCTCAAGTTTCCCTTTTGCCGGAAGTGAGGGAAAAGGAGGGGGAACAATATAACGCCTGGGATCTGGGAAAAGAGAGGATGACTGATCATCGCCCGGAAGAACTGTGGGGTGGGGGCTGCTTGGGAACACTTAAAACATTGAAGGATGGGAGAAAATTCCCCAGATCCTGTCTAGCATGCCTACAATCATTTTCTCTTAATAAAGATGCCTGTTGGAAGAGATATTCCAAGAGTTCTGTCTTCTTAAGATGTAAAGTGAGGTGGGTCCTTACATACCTTTTGCAATCTTGTGATAAGCAAAGTCAATAGGAAGCCAGAGTCACTTAATAACCATATTACTAATTTAATAACAAGTAATTTACTTAACAACTGTGATCAGAAAAGTCATAAAATGGGTCAAAATTCATTTAACAACTGTCTTGCTTAGCAACAGAAATCTTGGGCTTAATTGTGGTTGTAAATTGAGGACTACCTGTACATCTAAATGGTGATCAATGAACTATTAACTATATTAATTATGGTAAATAGGTTTCAAAAAAACCAGGAAAAGGAACCAACTATAAGGATTTTATATGGTGATATCTTTAGTTTAACCCTTAACTACAGTTTTTGTTAATTCTGGTTAATAGGAACTTTGTTTTCTTGATTTGTTTCACTTCTCATAGAAAGTAATGAAAGAGAGTAAAGGAATAGCATTAACATTCATGAGGCATGAACTGTGTATTTCATTTAAAGACAAAATATGAACATGTGAATATAGCCAATGCTGAAAACCTCTCCAAAATTTCAAATTTGTTCACTATATACCTGGTAAATTTGTTGATCCTACAACTTTCAGTGCACGAGGATCTATTCTGGTAGAAGAATGAGCTGTGAAAAAAGAGAGAAAAAATAGCATAATTTCAAATCTTAGAAAAATAACTACACACAAATGACTGTTGACTTAATCAGAGAATAACAGATCAAAGCAACCACAGTCACTTCACACATAATTGCAAGAATACAGAATGAAATGGCCATATTCAAACAATCATCCAAACATTTTAAAATTATTTAAGGATGCCTTGGATAAATGCTGAAATATTACATTCTTCTTTGCTGTTCCCATCATGCTAGATTTGGTGCTATGCACAGGATAAGTATTTCATTCTATACTCAAATCAGAAAATGCTGGTTTAATACTTATCCTGTGCAAGTCTAGCACCAAATCTAGCATGATGGGAACATAAATATGAACCAGTTGCCAGGCATCTGAATTTTGATCATTTGACTATGGGGATGCTGCAAAGTTATAACTCTGAAAAACAGTCATAAATCACTTCTTTCAGTGTGTTTGTAACATTGAACAATCATTAAATGAACTGTTGTAAGTTGAGGACTACCTATATTTGGTTATTGTCCTAGGTAAACATATGGAAACTGCAGATATAAATTCAAATACTATGCCAACTGATGGGCATCTTTGATATCTAAACTGTTAACTAAAGCATTATTGGGATATATGCAACCTATGGGCATTCATTCCTGGTGTAGCAGAATGAATGTGTGATGAAAATAGTAACACATAAGTTCATGAACTATATAACTTCAGACAATTATATAAACAGATTATTAGCATACTAATATTAATGAAATGTAACAAAATATGATTCGCACTCTCAGTTAAACAAATGTAATCTTCTTGGAAGAGACTAGAAGTAAATATAAAAAAGTTTGTTAACTTTTCCAACATATTCAGTAGATTAGAGGTCTTCAAACATGGCTCTTTTATGACTGTGGACTTGGTAAAGATAAAAGTAAACTAGCTATAGTTTATTTTATTAAATGTCTAATTAAAGTCTAAATAAATTATGTCCACAGTATTTCCCTGACCTATCAATTTAGTCACTTTGTCAAAAAAGAATGCAATTAGGTTTCTCTGCCATGATCTGCAAAACTACAAACGCTTTTAGTAATATTTTTGCTTGTTTCAAGGTGTTGCAGATTCCTAGCTTAACTTTTCCAAGGTTTTCCCAGATATTGATATCAGGGTGTTTTGCCTGTAGTTTCTTAGATCCATTTTTCCTTTTTTGAACATGGGAACCTCAGTTTCCTAGTGCTCTAGAAGTTTTGAAAGATTTGGTTCAGAGATTCCATCTGCCTAGTTCAGAGATCCTTCAGAACCGTGAGATGCAATCCATCTGGTCTTGATGATTTCAAGTCATTTAGAGTGGAAAGGTGTTGTTTTATTATTTCCTTGCCTATTTTGACTTGTACTCCTAGTCTGCCTTCTGCAGTACTTCTTTTGATAGGTTGGGTTGTTTTTCTTTTTGCGTAAAGAGTGAATTAAGAAGTTTTGCTTTCTTCCTGCTACCTAATACTCCCTTGCCAAGTTCTCCCTTTAGTGGAATGATCATTTTCTTAACTTTTTTGAATTTTTAACATGCTGAAAGAAACTTTATTTTTATTTTTGGCATTTGTTGCAAGTCTCAGTTCATTCTGAGTGTTAGCTTTCCTGACTTTGTCCCAGCAGATTAGGGCTTTTTGCTGGTGTTCTGTTTGTTATGTGTCCCTCTTTCCATTTTTTATACCTGTCTTTTATGTTTCAGGTTATCTGAGAAATTTTTTTATATACAACCATGCTGGTTTTATATGTGGTCTCCTATTTTTCTTTCTCAATGGTATTGTGTTAGTCTGGGCTTTTGTAACCTTATATTTCAGAGTTTCCCAAGCGTTTTGAGTTATTTGCCCTTTCAGATTTCCATTCATGGAATCCTTCCTAAGGTCTTTCTAAGTTTGTTGAAGTCAGTTCTGTTATAAAGTCTAAGATATTAATTTGACTCTGGCAAATTACTTGTGCCTGAATTAATACTGAATTCCAATATGACATGGTCATTCGCTCCTAAAAGTCCCTGCAACTTCAATCCCTTCTATCATTTCATTTCTGTTAGAAAGAAATCCAGTATAGCTGACCTTCTGATTCCCTCCTCTGCTTTTTGGATGACAAAGTTTTCTGCCAGGATCATCAGGAACTTGCTTGATCTCTCAATTGGTGCAGAGTTTTTCTCCCAGTTGATACAATTATACTGTCTCATGCTTCCTGCACCCCTTAGCTAAGTGATTAGCAAAAAAGTTCATCTATTCCTTTTTTTTGTCAGGACTCTCTGCTATAACCTGTCCGTCTTGGGTGGCCCTGCACGGCATAGCTTATAGCTTCATTGAGTTGCGCAAGCCCCTTCGCCACGACAAGGCAGTAATCCATAAAGGGGTGACAAAATGTGATCCACTGGAGAAGGAAATGGCAATCCACTCCAGTATCTTTGCCATGAAAACCCCATGGACAGTACTAAAAAGCAAAAAGATATGACGTTGGAAGATGAGCCCCTCAGGTCGGAAGGTGTCCAATATGCTACTGGGGAAGAGCAGAGGGCTAGTACCAGTAGCGCCAGAAAGAATGAAGCGACTGGGCCAAAGCCGAAAGGACGCTCAGCTGTGGATATATCTGGTGGTGAAAGGAAAGTCCGATGCTGTAAAGATTTTTTCTCCATAGGAACCTGGAATGTAAGATCCATGAATCAAGGCAAGCTAGACATAGTCAAAAAAGAGATGACAAGACTGAACATCGACATCTTAGGAATCAGCGAACTAAAATGGACAGGAATGGGTGAATTTAACTCAGATGACCATCAGGTATACTACTGTGGGCAAGAATCCCTCAGAAGAAATGGAGTAGCCTTCATAGTCAATAAAAGAATAGGAAAAGCAATACTGGGATACAATCCCCAAAATGACAGAATGATCTCAATTCGAATCCAAGGCAAACCATTCAATATCACAGTAGTCCAAATCTATGCCCCAACCACTGGTGCTGAAGAGGATGAAATTGACCGGTTCTATGAAGCCCTACAGCACCTTATAGAATTAACACCAAAAAATGATGTCCTTATCATCATGGGGGATTGGAATGCTAAGGTAGGAAGCCAAAAGATAACCGGAATAACAGGCAAGTTTGGCCTTGGAGTACAAAATGAAGCAGGGCACAGGCTAATAGAATTTTGTCAAGAGAATACGATGGTCATAACAAACACTCTTTTCCAACAACCCAAGAGACGGCTCTACACATGGACATCACCAGACGGTCAACATAGAAATCAGATTGACTATGTGCTCTGCAGCCAAAGATGGAGAAGCTCTATACAGTCAGTAAAAACAAGACCAGGAGCTGACTGTGGCTCAGGTCATGAGCTTCTCGTTGCAAAATTTAGGCTTAAATTGAAAAAAGTAGGGAAAAGCACTAGGCCACTCAGGTATGAACTAAATCATATTCCTGATGAATATACAGTAGAGGTGACAAATAGATTTAAGGAATTAGATCTGATAGACAGAGTGCCTGAAGAACTATGGATGGAAGTTCGCAACATTGTACAAGAGGTAGCAACTAAAACCATCCCAAAGAAAAAGAAATGCAAGAAAGCAAAATGGCTGTCTGAGGAAGCTTTGCAAATAGCTGAGGAAAGAAGGGAAGCGAAAGGCAAAGGAGAAAGAGAAAGATACACCCAATTGAATGCAGAATTCCAGAGAGTAGCTAGAAGAGATAAGAATGCCTTCTTAAATGAACGTTGCAAAGAAATAGAAGAAAACAACAGAATAGGAAGGACCAGAGATCTCTTCAAGAAAATTGGAGATATGAAGGGAACATTTCATGCAAAGATGGGCATGATAAAGGACCAAAATGGCAGAGACCTAACAGAGGCAGATTAAGAGATTAAGAAGAGATGGCAAAACTACACAGAAGAACTATACAAAAATGAGCTTAACATCCCAGATAACCACAATGAGATGGTCACTGACCTCGAACCAGACATCCTAGAATGTGAAGTGAAATGGGCCTTAGAAAATCTGAGCAACAACAAAGCTAGTGGAGGTGACAGTATTCCAGCTGAGCTATTCAAAATCTTAAAAGACGATGCAGTAAAAGTGCTACACTCAATTTGCCAGCAAATTTGGAAAACTCAACAGTGGCCACAGGATTGGAAAAGGTCAGTTTACATTCCAATTCCAAAGAAAGGCAATGCCAAAGAATGTTCAAACTATCGCACCATTGCACTCATTTCACATGCTAGTAAAGTTATGCTTAAAATCCTACAAGCTAGACTCCAGCAGTATGTGGATCGAGAACTACCAGAAGTACAGGCAGGATTTCGAAGAGGCAGAGGAACTAGAGATCAAATTGCCAACATACGCTGGATCATGGAGAAAGCTAGGGAGTTCCAGAAAAACATCTACTTCTGCTTCATTGACTATGCAAAAGCCTTTGATTGTGTGGATCACAACAAATTGTGGCAAGTTCTTAAAGAGATGGGAGTACCAGACCATCTCATTTGTCTCTTGAGAAACCTATATGCGGGTCAAGAAGCAACAGTGAGAACCGAACACGGAACCACTGATTGGTTCAAAATTGGAAAAGGAGTCCGGCAAGGCTGTATACTGTCGCCCTGCCTATTTAACTTATATGCAGAGCACATCATGAGAAAGGCAGGGCTAGATGAATCAAAAGTTGGAATTAAGATTGCCGGGAGAAATATCAACAACCTAAGATATGCAGATGATACCACTCTAATGGCAGAAAGTGAAGAGGAACTAAAGAGCCTCTTGATGCGGGTGAAGAAGGAGAGTGCAAAAGTTGGCTTGAAACTCAACATTAAGAAAACCAAAATCATGGCATCCGGCCCTCTCAATTCCTGGCAAATAGATGGGGAAGAAATGGAGGTAGTGACAGATTTTATTTTTCTGGGCTCCAAGATCACCTCAGATGGGGACTGCAGCCAAGAAATTAAAAGACGCTTGCTCCTGGGGAGGAAAGCTATGGCAAATCTAGACAGCATACTAAA